TAATTTTTTGATTTATTGTAGAGATGAGGTCTCGCCTGCCCAGGTGGGTCTCGAACCTGCGGGTTCAGGCAATCCACTCACTTCAGCCTCCCAAAGGCGTGTGATTACAGGCTAAGCCACCGAGCCCTGCAATTTTATAATTTTTAATATTCCTTTTTTAGTCCAGTTGTAGCTACAAATTAAGTTGTATTGAGAGTTGCCATTATAAGATATAATGAAGTAATATCTAGTAAACATCTACAATAGTGTGTGACTTTTTTATGACTATTTAGATAATTTTCAATTCTTTACTCATGCAGATTCTTACTCCCTCTTTTTATACATTCACACATACATGCACAGCCTAAAATGAGTCATATTCACAAAGTCATTACAGATAGATCGTGCAAAAAATTAAAAAATCATTTCCAGCCGGGCTCGATGGCTCAGCCTGTAATCCCGCGCCTTTGGGAGGCTGAGGTGAGTGGATTGCCTGAACCCGCGGGTTCGAGACCCACCTGGGCAGCGAGACCTCATCTTTACAGTAAATCAAAAAATCAGCCGGGCGTGGTAGCGCATGTCTGTGATTCCAGCTATTCAGAAGGCTGAGATGGTAGGATTGCTGGAGCCCAGCAGGCGAGGCTGCAGTGGCCAGGAGCAGCCACTGCACTCCAGTCTGGGTGACCAAGTGAGACTCCAACTCAAAAAAAAAAAAAATTATTTCCCCAAGAAATCATTAATAATAAAAAATTTATACAGAATGAGTGTCTTTCATGGTTTACAGATTTTCTGAAAGCACTGGTATTTAGTAGGGAATATACATTTTTTACCGATTATGTTTATGTGAAAAGAATAAGGGGATAAAGAGTTGAGTAGATGGAAGAATGATTACTAACTTCCTATCTTGAAACATTACCTCTTTGCCTAAACATGTGTCTTGAACGTGCATAAACATTATCTAATTGCCCAATTAAGAGTATCCAAAGAACATAAAAACACTTATATTGAGTTGTTTTCTCATTAGATCAATCACTGCAGGAAAAACAAACAAACAAAAAAACATTGAAGCAGATCATATTGATTCCAAATACCAGCTTTAGACCTTTGACACAATTAATCTCTTTTCCCCTTCTTTCCTGTTTTAGCAAACTTCCAGAAACAAAACAAGCAACATTTTGTGATGATGAAGATAACAGCAGCCACACAGGCCAGCAGGAACCCAATCACATCCAAAGAGTGGTACTGAAAATAGGTGAGGTTATGGGCTGCAACCCGAAGGTGTTTGGCTCCTTTGTGACGCATGACAAACTCGATCCAGAACACTGCTCGATCGAGGGGCTTCATTGGCTGATCATGTTGAATTTTTGACAATCTCATAGCATTCTCTTTGTATCTGAAGGAGAAACATAAAGGTATCAACATTGAAAGAAATTTAATTCTCCTAGGCATATGCCAAGTCCCTGAAAGGATTTTGAAAAGTGTCACACAAATAATTCAAAGTAAATGTCAAAGAACTGACATGGAGCTTGTGTATTTTAATTTGGGTCTTCATAAAGAGCTTGACTTTTAAATTTTGATTTTATCCTGGACAAATACATTAGGGGAAAGCTAATTTGCTTTTAGCAGAGAAAATATTATGAGCCACTCTGACTACTGTAAGAAAGATAGTAAAAATGAAATTTGAGAACAACCATCTTAAATTTTGAACGAGAGTTGGGTCACGGTGGGTGAAGTGCTCTTAACCAGACTCACTGCTTCTCTTCTATTTTTCTGTCTTCTACTGTCTATTTCCCACCTAGTAGCCAGAATGAGTTTTTTGAAATGAAAATCAGATTATGAGACTGGTTTCTCATCACATTAGAAATAGAATCCAAATCTGTTTTTTGGTCTATAGGACTCCATGTGGTCAAATACTAGCAGCATCTTCTCCTGTGATTTCCTCCCTTATCACTCTTTTCTAGAGATACTGACTTTTTATTCTTCTTTAAGCTACCAAAGGTGGTGTGGCCTTAGCACATTTACACTTCTTGTCCTCTCTCTCCCCTCTTGGAACATTCTTCCTTGCAACAGCCCAAGGCTTGTATTACTTTTTGAGGCTTCCCCTTAAAAGCCACCTCTCAGAGAGACACTTCCCGGCTATACTATAGTAATATCCCCTGGACTTCTTTGCTTATTTTGTGTTTATTTTGCTACTTAATTTTTAGAATTTTTAAATATTTTATATATCCTTTAAAATAAATATTTAAGTATTGAATACTTAAGATAAATGTACATATGCTAAGTAAATAGCCCAAAATATTAATATTATCTTGAACATTATCCTGAAGTGAAGACATCAGTTTACCTACTGCTCACATGATAATATATCACAAACAGCCTAGAATAAATCTCTTGCCCTTGACCATTTTAGTCACTACTTGTGTCTCCAAATTAAGTATTTATCTAACTTCTAATATCATAGATTAGTTTTGTTGGTAGATAGATGATTTGTATAATTGAAATATATAATGTGTACTCATCTGTGTCTTTTTTGTGCAGTTATTGGTGAATTTTACTACAGTATTGCATTGATTGTCCACAGATTATCTCTTTATTTAGTAATCAATAAGCATTTGGCTTGTTAATAATTTTTGGACAATGCTAATGATTCTGTCATAATATTTTTATGTGGAGCATTAGGTTTACATATTTATACATTTCCATTGGATATATATAATTAGAAGTTAAAATGCCGAGATAAAGTTGCATGCATAACTATAACTTGCTTCTTGACTAAATTTTTTTAAAGTGTTGTTTTTTTTTTTAATTTCCAAAGCTGAGAGTTTATTTTCATTTTTCTTTATTATTTTTTTAACATAACTCTACTATGGCTGGACTATACACTATGATATTGGATCTTTACATATTTACTGAGCCTTTATTTGTGGTCTACAAAATGTCAATTCAAGTATCTATCCCACAGTCTTTAGAAAAATCTTTATTCCCAATTGATTTATATATGTATATGTGTATATACACACACACACACACACACACATATATATATCATATATATATGACGTTATATTTTTTAATTGCGTTTGCCTGATCTTTTATTGGTGTTCTCATTTTTCTTCCTTTTTGTCTGTTTAAATTTAATGCAAGTAATAATATATTCACATTTAAATCTACCATCTTATTTTTAAATTACTTTTCTATTTGTCCAATCAGATTTATTTCCTTTTCAATTATTTTCTGTCCTCTTTAAAATTATTTTTTTCATTTATTTTCCTACTGTTTTCTTCTTGATAAAGCATTTTTAAAGTAATCCTTTAAGTGATATCCTTCTTATGTAATAATATTATTTACAGTAGTAATAAATGCCGAATTGATGGTAGCTAGACAAGCAATGACATTTTCCATATCGTTTTTTATTTGGAATATGGAAAAATTAACTATTAAAGACTTATTTTATCAGCATAAAAACATTGTGCTTCAAAGCACATCATCAAAAAAGGTCAAAAAGCAAAAACAAAAAAACAACCTATTAAGAATGAGAGGAAATATTTGAAAATGACATATCTGTTAAGGAATCTTAGCCACAATATATAAGGGATTCTTATAGCTCAACAGTGAGACAAATAACAAAGTTTAAAAATGCTAAGATAATTGAAACAGACATTTTTTCCAAAGAACATACATAAAAAGGCCAATAAACACATCTAAAGAAGCTCCACATCTTTAACCATGATGAAAATACATATCAAGACCACAATGAGACACTACTTCACAAATAAGACAGCTATAATCAAAAGACAAATAATAACAAATGTTGGCAACACAATGAAGAGGAACCAAAACCCTCTTGTATTGCTGGCAGCAATGAAAACTGTTGTAAGTGGTTTGGAAAAATAGTTTGGTAAGTCTCCATAAACATAAAGTTCTCATATAAGATAGCAATTCCACTTCTAGCATCTACTTTTGAAAAATGAAAACATATGTTAATGTGACAACATGTATAGCAATGCTCATAAAAGCTACAATTATAAATAATACCAACGAGCTGATAAATGGACAAATAAAATATGCTATATCCATACCATAAAATATTATACAACTGTAAATAAAATGAGTAATACACATAGCATGAATGAAACAAAACAAAATGCTAGGTGAATGATGTCATATAGAAAACTCTGTAAATTGTATGATTCCATTCATATGAAACACCCCGAAAGATCACTCTAGATAAAAAGAAGCTAATCTGGTGTTTTCCAAGGGCTAAGAAGTTATGGGAAGTAACATTTATGCTATAGGATATTTTCTTGTGTTTATAAAATTGTCCCAAAATTATATTAGGATGATTTCTATATTACTCTGCAAGCATGCTAAATATCTTTGGATTTACTTTTTAAGTAAGTGGATTTTATGCCACACAAATTATATCTCATTATAAAATTTATTAAAATAATTATAAAAATAAATTTTCAAGCAAGAAAAACTTATACTTCCAGATATTTAGATATTAAATGGAAATGTTTTATTATAATTCTGTATAACAATTTTTTTTGTAGAAAATCGTTGCACTAATTGGTTACTCATTAAATATATGGGGCTCAAATGCAACTTTGAAATAATTTCTTGAAAAGTAAAGCTGAATTCAAATTAAAGTCATTTAATTTATTTTAAATAGCTTCTTTAAAAGGGAATGAAATATACTCTTGACAAGAGAACCAATCTGTAAATACCACCAAGTCAAAAAATGTTATACTCACAAAGGATTATTAATTACTGTCTTCAAGCCGGGCTCGGTGGCTCAGCCTGTAATCCCGCGCCTTTGGGAGGCTGAGGTGAGTGAATTGCCTGAGCCCGCGGGTTCGAGACCCGCCTGGGCAGTGAGACCTCATCTCTACAATAAATCAAAAATCAGCTGGGTG